CCCCCCTTATATGTACCAAACTGTAATTTTATTTTTACTTAACATTTACTGAGGAGCTTCTGGTAAAAAGCTCATCCAAATAAAAAATCAGCACAAACAAATTATTTTTAAGGGGGATATTGAATATTTCCTTTTTTCCCTTTTTTTGTTGCATGTAGTTGGCATCATTCACCCCATAAGAACCAAATTGGAATGAGTTTTAACTTCAAATTAACTCGAGTTGAACCTGTACAGATGCTTTAGATTTATAGCTTATATAATACACTGCTACAAACTTAGTGTAAAATGAACAGTCAATTAAGTATTGTATGGTAAATACACACTGTTCATGGAATCAGTCAGTGCATGTTTACTGGGATTTCCCAGTTCCTGTTAAAATGTGGTTACCGTAGTGGAATTTCCTACTTTCTGTTTATAGTCTGTATGCTATTTTTGCCAGCTTTGCTCTCTGGTTTCTGAGTCTGTGCTATTGTTACGTACACATGTGTAGGGAATAGAGAGAAAACACTAGCAGTTTGAAGGTACTGATTGGCAGTAATTTCTACAAAATGTTTTTGACTTTTTGAGAATATTCTAATAGGAAATGGATCTTATCAGTATGATTATGGAACATTGTTAACTACTCACAAATCTTTTTAATAGACATATCTAGCATGAAAAAGATTAAGTCATGAAACAACTGCAGCTGTAATGAAAGTTTGTTTTGCTCTTTCTTATCCCATTCATGATTCTGTACTGAAATTAATTCTGCTGGAATTGATGGGATATTTTCTCGTGGTGTGTATTTCCCAGGTATCAGTTTATCTTATCTTATTACAGAACTATCCTGAAAGCGTAAGGCTACATTTTGACATTCAAAGGCATTTCATTGTAAGGTAATCTAAATTTCAGGCAGATGATTGTATTTCAGTTTTGATGAAATGGGCTGTAGGGTACAGTACTTTTATGTGTAGCTCCTTCACTGTTCAGAGAAAGTGTAAATTTTGCTGGCATATACTTGTACATGTATATTGAATAACACTGAGTTAATTGAAATATCAATTCACTGCCAGATACTGTAGAAATTAGTGGTACTACAGAATGTGCACAAAAGATGGTACTTTTTTAATTAATTAATTAATCTATAGATATATTGATTGGCATAAATATAAATTTGAAGAGTCATGGTGGAGTTGGAGTTGTTAAAATGTTTAGTGCATTTACGTTATTTATTATAGTTTAAAACTTGAAGTGGCAATGCCTGTGGTTTGTCTTAAAAATACACTGTATATATTTACCTACGTTCACACAAACAGTTATTTTTAACATGTATTCAGTATGTTTTTTACTAAATTTAATAAATATTGATTGATGCAATATGTTCATTTCATGCCAAAAGTCTTCTTGGATCCTTTTATTAAAATATTAAAGATTTAACTCATAAGCTACTATAAACCTTCAGCTGTGTTACATATATTCAGTTTTTAAAAAGGAAAATAGAACCAAAAATAAATACAATAATCTTTTTACTTCTCTTACAGTCTCATCAAAGTGAATGACATGAAGGGTGGACTTAGGTCGATTTGCCTCATTCTCATGATGTTGTTAGAAGTGTTATCTGGCTTTCCTGACTTGGCTAGTTTCCGACCACCGCCTTTTGGAAGTACGTAATTATGGTAGTACCTAGAGTCAGAGCTTGAGGTGATTTGGTTCCGTAACTTCCATCTGCAGTGTTTTGAAAATCATTACCTGTCAATAAATTTGTTTGAAAAAATGGAGGAGGTGTGTATTTTTGCCATCATATTCTCTCTTCCATTGTTAAAGTATCCCTTTTTTTCACTTTATTTTGTCATTTTCAGGTCTACTTCCCCGGGACCCCATAGTTGCTGAAAGACAGAGTCTGAATTTGACTTGTGAATTGGATGTGTCCCTCCTAAAGAAGGCCATCAATGCAACAAATATATTTTTCACATTTCATCCCCTTCCCCTGGATAATTCAGATATTAATGACTTCAACCACTCAGTGGAGATAATATCTGAGACAACAGCAGTACTTTCAGTTCTCAGCCTTCCTGTGGGTAAAACTGGCAGGTACAGTGCTCGTTGTAATGTCAATCAGACAGGTGGGATAATCACAAAGGGACCTGCACAAGAGATCATTGTGGAAGGTAAAGATTTTTAAAATTCTGTTGATATTACAAAGATCAAATTGTTGATGCTTTCCCTGTTTATTATATGATGTGTCGTTGTGTTGGATAATCCAGTTGCTTTTCTTTGGGAAAAATAATATAAGATAAAACTAAATCTCTAGTATTTATAGCACATTTATTTTGTTTCAGGCCAACCAGATGTTCCCAAGAATGTGCAGTGTGTCTTCCATGCCAGGACAACTCTCAACTGTACATGGGATAATGGGAGAGCCACTGGGAGTGCCACCAACTGGACATTGCTTTGGACCATGGATCCTGATTCCAGGTAAATCATAGGGCAAGGAGAGAGAAACCAAGAGTATTCAGGCTCTAAATAACTTTTTAAAAGTTTTACTGCTTTGGAAAATAACATTATAATATAAATATAGTTTTCTCCTTCTTCCTGTGCTCCTCTATCCCCCCTTTTTTTTTGGGGGGGGGATGAGGGGAGTTTATTCAGTAAAATTATTTTATAATATTTATTTCATCATATCTTGACAGAAATTAGATTTATGAATTTTATGTATTGTTACCAAACTAGATGGCTGTTAGTATTGCTAATATTAACAAATGGTATCATGTCGTTCCAGTCGGTTGTTTATTTGTATATATTGTAAGTGTAAAGACAGTTGCAAAACCCTAAGATGCCCTTATATTGCATTCCATGACAACAACTGAATGATCTACTGTAATTGATGGAAATTGTTTTGAAAATTTTCTCTATTTCATGCAGCCCTGTTCCCTGTCAGCTCCTTTCAGCTACTATGGACTCTTGTAAGTGGGTGGAGGAGCAGACAGTGGCACAGATACAGTCCGGTACTACAATGCTTGTGCAGGTCATTGCACAAAACACATTCTGGACAAAGAGGACTTCCAAGATTCTGGTTGATCCTTTTAAATTAGGTATGACCAAGTGAATAAGATTATCTGCCATATGATGGCAGTTTGCAAAAATTGGCAGTGATGCATGTACCAGTACGTATTCTGTGCATCTTAAAATACTTGGAGTTCCATTGACAGTTTTGGATGTGGTCAGTGAAGCCTTTTTATATCTTATCTTTGTGCAAGCTGTTGAGATTTTTATTGTTTCTATCTTTAAGATGACTTAAAGAATAAGAACCTTAAAGTTGCAAGAAAACAAAAACAGATTTATATCTACTGGTATTACATGTATCTATATAATTACAGTAAAGCCAGACCCAGTAACACACATTGATGTACAGACAAATGCAAGTTCAGTTTTAATTTTGTGGCCTGCCCCGAAGTTTTCAGAGGAACACACAATTCAGTGGTGGAATGGGACATGCTGTGTAAAAAATGTAGGTTAAATCATTAGTTAGTTCATTTTTACAGTATTTCTTTGCTTTGATTGATGTGGTTGACAAAAAAATGACAAAAAAGGCTTGGCAAAATATTGACATGATGACATTTGCACATTTCCATAGCTAACTTAAATACTGTGAATTAGTTTTCTCAAAGCGTTAATTAAAGGTCTGTGTGAGTTTTTTTTTTCTCATCACCATGGCCACCAGGTTTTAGCAGTTGGCTTAAAAATTATATTTTTTTGTTGATAGTCTAACAAAAATGCAAAATCTATTTTCTTTGTTTATTTTCAGTCCATAACAAACTTTCTTGTAACTCTATCACTGCTCCATTAACTACAACAGAACTATTGTGCACTGTGTTCATAATGCTATGATCTACACTGCCACCCCTTACACTGCTACACTTTAACACTTCTATGTCTATAGACCTGCTTTTATTTATATCTGTACCTTAAAGTGTCCCAACTTGCACTTTTAATTGCCATCTGATGATAAGTACCAAATATTGGAGGATGACGGACTGTGAACATGAATGTATACTAGTACATATCATTCTGTTAAAGTTGGAGGATGACAGCAGCAAATAGCATATGACTTTGAATGGTTGACTGCAATTTACAATAACTAATCAAGTACCTAGGCTATTTGAGAGTGAATCATCATGTTGCTTGAACCCAATTAATGATAGGCATCCAAAAGTAGTCGAACTTGAATAGTTCACTGCAAACCATTTGTTAAATTAAACCAATGCAGTATAGCTCTACAGGATTTCCAGCTGCAATGAAGTCCAGCAGTTCAAGTAAGAATTTTAGTCCTATTAACTATCAAATGTTCTTAAAACAATTCATTCTAGCAACATTTCAGTTATAAACATTTATTAAGCTATAAACATTTGGTAACTAAAAGGATGCTACAATATAGATGACACATGCAGTTTCCTTGTCTGGAATATTCATTGGGTTGGTCACAGGGGAAACGTCTGGAAGATGGGCATGGTTTGCCTTTTTACCTAAGGTGTTTAAAAATCATATATGAATAATTCAATTACAAAAAAATGTTTATTTCTTTTCAGCTGGTAGTACTAGGGACTGGCATTGTATCAGTAGTGATTGAAGACATGGCTCCAAACATCAATTATACCGTATGTATTAAGTCTAAACCTAGGACAAGTGGCTTCTTCAGTGACCCTGTTTGTAGAGTCATTGGGATGATCCATACAACTACAGGTACTCAGATTCTTTATCTTTAACTGCAGACTTTACTCACAGTAATAAATGACTGTCAGTGAGTGAAATGCACTTGAGTAGAGTAACAGGCAATTGTATAACTAGCTAATTTTAATAATAAATAGCATTACAATGGTATCAAACCTCTTAGTTACTGTAAATTGTGATCCACTGTCATCTGTAAACATTATTGTACCACCAGCGTAGGCGCTGGCGGTACACATGGTTTTAGTCCCGACCCGTATGTTCCGCCGGCTCCGCCGGCCCNTGGGATGATCCATACAACTACAGGTACTCAGATTCTTTATCTTTAACTGCAGACTTTACTCACAGTAATAAATGACTGTCAGTGAGTGAAATGCACTTGAGTAGAGTAACAGGCAATTGTATAACTAGCTAATTTTAATAATAAATAGCATTACAATGGTATCAAACCTCTTAGTTACTGTAAATTGTGATCCACTGTCATCTGTAAACATAGTTTTTCACCTGTCACTACTGTCATATAAATTTTCTTCACCTCTGTTGGCAAATTTTTCATGTATTAGTAGCCAGTGATATGGTATTAGAGCCGGTGGCTACAGGATTTGTGCCAGTGTCAACTGTTGGCATTGTTACTGGAGTGACCTTAGCAGCTCTCTTTCTGATTGGAGGCATCTTGTTGCTTATGAAGTAAGTATTAAAATATTGATCTACTAATAAACTGTTTGGATTCAGTTAATAAACCGATGAACAAACAAAGAGCCTTGCTCTCTCTCTTAGCTTGACAAAATATTTCTTTGCTACATAATATACATGCAAATATGAAATAGAGTAAGAACTTGAACAAGAGTTTATTAAATTGCAGGATGCACAAATATGTGCACAAAAAGATTGCTATCATGGTACCTCCTGAAACCATAAAGGAAGAGGTGGGTTTATAATTTTCTGCTTTGGATTTTCTAGCACTGATAATTAGCAGACATAATTAACATTTTTCTACTAGTGGAATTTGCAACTGAGTATTTAACAATATAGTTATGCAATTTTGGAGACTTAAAATTTGGTCTGACGAAGATGGTAGTCCGTTGTTGCATGAGAACATTTACAGATCAATCAAGCTCTTAATTCTCTAATGCAAGGTGGAATTACTTGAATGTTTTAATATCTTCTGAATAACTAACCTATAAAAATTAATTATTTGAGTGCGCATTTATCAGGTACTTGGACAAAATAGTTGCCAGAGTCTCAGAATAGATGATGAAAGTGTGGATAGTGGAATCCAGTTTTCTTCATCTAGTAGCATCACCCCAACTAGTCAAGGACACACTTATTACCAAGTAGGCAGACAAGCAATTAACAAAGGAGAAAAGGTCCACTTGAATGATGCGCTCACAGCTTGTAGACTTTCAATGACTGCTACATCTTCTAGTGAAGGAATTAAATCTATGTCATCAGTGTCTGACCAAATCAGTCGTGAGGATTTGACCATAAGTGATGGGGAGTCTCCCTGTACAGCTGTTTTGACAGATAATATTGAGAACAATGTTACACCTGCTTCAACAGATGATATTGTAATCAGTGGCATATCCAATGCTATGACAGAAGAAACTGTGAGCAATGTTACATCAAATGTGACAGGTGAGATTGTGACTGGCACATCTGATACAAAACCAGTAGAAAATGAGACTGTGTCAAGGCAACAAAGGGCAGTGTGCACCCAGGCAACTACTTTCAATCAAGTCTGTGAAGAGTCATTTGAAACGAGGATTTTTAAAGAAACAAATTGTTATGAACCTGATGTTTGTATGGGTGGACAATGTGAACCATGTGTGTATTATGAAGATTTATATAGCTCTGGTGATTCTGAAGTGTCCAGTACTAGTAAATCAGATGGCTACAAGGGATGGACAGTCAATGTGGGTCTGGGATGTTATGCAGAGAGTAGTATCAATTCATCTGGATGTGAATTATCCTCTTGTGTAAACCGCTATGGTGAAACATCTTTTAATCAGAATGGAAGGGAATTAGATATACCCCGAAACCCACAGAAATGAAGATATCATACAAGAAATGCAGCAAGATACACATGACTCATTATCTGCTGATACTACTCAAGGAATACAGCAGGATTCCCTTGACATAACAGCTGCACAACCTCTATTTGGAGAAAAAACAACGCATGTTACTTACACTGAAGATAAGAGCTCATCTGGAGTAAATGGGAATTTATGTGTTTTATTGGATAATGACTTTGAAGGTGGGAAGACAGAAAACATTGTTGATATGATTGGTTCATCAGTAGAGTTAGAAAATACAAGTAATTCACTTACTCAGAATGAAAATTCAGGGAATCACAAAATGCTTCAGATGCAAAAGATTAAATTTGCTGAAGCTGACAAACATTTATTTAACAATAACAGAAGTTTGGGTCAGAAGTATAATCAACAAAAAATATTTAATCCAGCTATCCTTCCTTCTATAGGGTATGCACAATTCAGTCTCAGTCCAACACCAGGTAATATTGTACTGTACATGTAGATTGTTCTAAAGATGAAGAAAAGGGGCCAGATTGTCAGTTCTCAATGTTAATTTAACCATCCATCAGGGCCTCTTTCTGAAAACCTTAATATTTTTGGGGAACCAATGCAAGTACAGACTAAGTTTACCTTGGCCAGTAGATGCCAATAAAATATTGTGTATCGGTATGATCAGGGAATTTGTTTTCTTGAATGTTCTTTGTGCCTTAAGAAACACAGTATCATATGTGGCCAGTAAAACCCTAAATACTTATATTTTATATTACATTTTGAAAAGCAATTTCATTCTCAGCAGTATATATCATTAAATTTTACTTTTCTCTTCAGCATAGTGAAAAGATTGTCATATAACAGATATAATTCATAATTTTCACAGAGAAATGCTATAGTGGATCTACAATGTATGTGAGACAGGTGGGCAGTGGGTGCACCCAATTCTCAGTTTAACCATTACTCCCCCCCCCCCCCAAAAAAAAAAAAAAAAGAAAATTTACAATGTGGAACAAGACAAAACCAAACAATTTTTCAGTCCCTGTGTTTTTTCAATAATAGAAAAAAATCTGCTGAGTACAGAGGGCATTCCCCTCATTGTGTCCGAAAACTGCTCAAAACTAAACTCTAAACTCAGATTTCAAATGAAGCAAGACAAATAGTTTGCCTCTGTGACCCACCTCCAGGATTTAGCTGCCACTAACATGAGATTAGAAATTATTTTCTTGCAGTCATGTACTCCATGATAAAGGTTACAGCCTATGTCTTATTTAGTTTTATAAAGAGTTTTATTTAAAGTTTTAGTAAATTACATTTCCTGAAAGCTACCTGCACAGTTATAATCTTGATAATGTTCATAAATCAATATTTGAGAAGCTCCCCTAAAATATGTATACAGGGTAAAGTCTGAATTGTTTTTTTCCCTATATTCAGTCTTATGAAATGATTTTTTATGTTTATTTTACAACATGTAATTTTAAATTACAGTAGGATTAGACCGACAATTTGAGCATATTGCCAGTATGACTACAATGTGCATCATGATATGTAAATTATTATATTGTGCAAATTTAAGTAGATTTTTCTATAAGTTAAGGCTGACTAGTTTGTTATTGATAGGGTTGATAGAGAAACTGTCTAATTATTTTAATGCATCTCAAGTTTGGTGGCAGCTTTCAAAGTACTGTGTGTTCCCTGTTTCTGAAAGCACACACAAATACCTCACTAATGTGGATGTAATACATTATAGATTTGTTGAGGTGAAAAGAGCTCATTGTGAGTGTGCTGGAGTAGTATCCAAGCTTAAGGTTGCCATTACATGCACAGGGAGTGGATCATTAACACAAAAATCAATATTTACATGAAATATATATGCTTTTTTAGTTCTTTTCCCTTGGTGGATTATGTCAGTTTATCTGTTCATAATAATCACAGTGTTTCTGTTGGTAATAACTTTTTGTTATGTAGCTTGAAGAGTGTATGGTTCTTCTATTCTCCTAATTTGCTATTGCTCCCTCTACCACTACTGTCTCTGCTGTTTTCTCTATGTATCCTGTGTGTATTAGCTCTCAGCTGTGTATTTTCTCCCTCTTAAATACCCTCTTATCCCAGCCACCCTACAAATCAATGTCATCTACTTCTACCTTCGATTCTGTTGGTTAATACCTGAGTTAAGGACACACCCATCTGGAGGTAGGACTCCCCTGAGGGTCCCCATACCTCCTGACAGGAAGTATCTTATTTAGGTTATCCTGTCCACACTGCTACTGTCCACTGTCCCCATCTTGTCTTCATACTGTCACCTATCTATGTTCAATCTAATTTAATGTAAACTGTACTGGGTATTGATCAGTCATATTATATGAAATGGTATATAAAAATAAAAATCACTATAACAATAAACTTACATCAACTTCTGAATTTCAGTAATTTGAAAAAATCATTGTCCTAGTGCTCTATATTACTGTATATTTGTATCCTGTATACTTACATTTTGGTGATTGTTTTTTATAACAAATGGATGCCAAATGAATCATAGCATATTCATATCATGTGATGTTACAAAACTCATTTTAATTTCTTATCAAATCTCTGCTTCAGCATTACTTAACATAGATATGTGTAACTTAATTTGGCTTAAGCTGGACCATGTATAGACTTACCTATCACTACATTTGTATGAACACTTTGCTTAACTGTTTTCCTCATACATGTAAGTAGAATGAATCATAATTCCTTGAATCAAAAGTGAAAGTCAATAATGAAATGCAACTATTTGAAGTTTTTTTCTGCTCAAAAGACCGCACTCAAATGCTGCTCATGCTAAATAATGCTACTTATTTTTCTGATTGTTGTCACTGTAAATGCACTAAATCTTGTAATTTATATTTATTCAGCTATCATAATGCATTGTTTTACTGAGTACATGTACAGTTCTGGGTAGCAGCTTCAGATTGTAGTATAGAAGAAAAAGGTACATCATGTATGATCCTAGTTTGGTCTATAGTGAAGGGGAAGGTCACCTTTTTTTAAGTGTGCTCCCTTCGTCCCTTCACTTCTTTTGTGCTACCTTATATTAATAAAATCCTAGATCTGCCTGTGTAAATATAATTTAAAAAGTAGGTCATTGAGTATACAGCTAGCTGACAAATATTTATATAAAAGAGCACAGGCTTTCAGCATCTGCAGTTTTGCTTTTTCATTCCAAGTCCTTGTGCTTACAGTAGATAATGATTTTTACATTTATAGAAGTAGAATGAAGTCCCAGAATCTTTTGACATCAAAAAGAGGTGATAAAATATATTCATTGACATGGATTTGACAGTTCCAACTTAAATTGACAGGTACAATAGGTAAGATGTTTATTATTCTTACTGAAAACCTTTAAGTTGTATAATAAAGGATGTGTTTGGTCTTTAGCTGTGTGGTTCAAATGGGGTGGGAGGCTTTTATAATTTTAACTGGGCTGACAAAGAGGAAGTTAAATACAAAATTCCACTCATGACTAGCACTGTACAGTATTGTTCTTTCACTTTTAAAACCAGGTCCTTCTTGATATACACCAGGCAGTTTGTCTCATTGAATGGATTGTGACACATTCCTGGGTACTAAATGATTGCGGATGTAGGAGGATGTGAACTGATTTGGCAAAATTCTGTGTTTATGACCTTTGAGGAGGTTTGATCAGTACAAGTATGCTGTGACATTATCAACACCCCACAGGGTATAGTTCCTTATCAGTTAGGAATGCAAGGTAGGGAACCTTCATTGTTACAGTTACTAAGTCGACTTGGTATAGATATTAAAATGTAACTATTATGCTTAACAGTGGAATATAGACTCAGCGTGTTTGATGAAATATATTGATCATGTTCTGAACAATTTATGATAGGAGGAAAAAGACCACATAGTATTTGATGTAAACTGTGTACTCTTTCCAGAATTGTTCATTAAGTTTAAATTTCTTTTAGCTTGATTTATAGCACAGTTTTGCTACATACTGGGGTATATTACTTTGAACTTAAAAAAAGATGCCAAATGTTGGCTTGATTGATTTTTTAATTGAATATACAAATTTTAAATCATTATTTAAGGACATCTGTGAGATTGAAGTGGTTCAACAGTATGAGAGAGAGATAACACATTATGGCAGGAAGACATTGGGGAACAACTATCCATTTCCTTCTTGTTTTTATGTTGGCTTCCTCAATTGCAAGACATATTGGAGGTTAGTTTTTATTCTGAAAGACTTAGTGTCTAGGTAATATATATAAATTAGTATTTTATTTAATTTGTAGTTGTTCAATTAGTTCAATGACAAATTAAATGGGACCACAGCAATAGTCAGAAGGTTCAATAGTCGGAATTAATGCATGAATAAAGGGTATACCGGTAGTTTACAAATGATTTTTCAGACCAATGAACTTTTGGATTGTCGAGACGCCCCCAATTAAATGAACCTGTTTTTACTCCCTTACCTTTCCATTATGAGTGAAATTTAAGATTCAACTACTCCTTTATCATTTCCATTATGATTGTGACTCAAAAATAGATACTTAAAATAAAAATGGGTTTATGGATCATATTTCTGTGAACAGTTTAAGAGATTGTACCTTGGTAATAAAGAGAAACATGCTGAAATATCAAGGAAAATTATAAATGTTTTTGCTATATACAAGTATACTGGTAGAGATTTAGTGTTTAATGCACATTGTGTGCCTTTGAGTACTAGACCTAAGATCTAATAAACGTATTAGATCTTAGACTAGACCAAGCATTTTATAAAATATCATACATACACGTACCTGTCTTCAATCTCTTTAGCAATTAATCAATAAAGTATATTTTGTTAGCATTTAATTAATCAAGTATATTTTGATATTAAAGTTTGAAATGCAACTCTAATTTGTGACATTGTTATTCTAGTAATGTTACCAAATGATCCCACTGTTGCCTCTGGAACTACAGCTAACCTCACCTGCTGCCTGAATGATATTTACATGTACAAATCAACAGACATTGAATTTGAACAACGAGGCAACCCTATAGCAAACACCAATCTAAGCACCACCAGGAGAGATAATTCTTCCTGCTCCACACTGTTCATTCACAATATTCAGTGTAAGGATGGAGGGATGATATACTCTTGCAGAGCAGGAACTGACATCATTGGGCAGCAGTATGTCACAGTAGGATGTATGTACATTTATGTCTCACTTTTTTCCAATTAAAATCCTAACATTTTAATCTATTAAGAAAATCATAGATTGTTTTCATTTCCACCACTTTTCACAGTGGCAAAATGTCTCTTTTTGTAGATTGATTTTTCTAATGGATGGTGATATATGAAAAACGTTTTAAACCAGTATAAGACGTTATAAAATTGATGTATGTTTATTTAAGATAACCTAAGGAGCCTAGATTCCCGTCTTCACTGTGTCTCCTATAATGAGGACAAGTTGACATGTTACATAGATATGGACTCTATGGTGACAACTACTGTTATAATGTCGTGGTCACGAGATGCCAGGTGGGCCATTTAACTATATTAGAGATATATATGACTACATGTACATGTAATATAACTAGTAAATATTATATTACATCTGATCACATTTATGTGATGCATGCTTCACTGGCATGTATTATATTTCACATTTCTCTTTTTTTTTATTTCAGTAGTTCTTGATAAATTTTCAAAATTTTATGTTTCAGTACACAGTATATTTGCCCACATGAAGTTGAAAATGAACACACATGTAGGCAACAATACAGCTGTACCTGGAAAAAAAACGATGGTGTAGATTCATACTACAGCCAGGTTCCTATCCATTTATCTGTGCGAGCTAACAATAGCCTGGGAACCAAAACATTTACCAAAACTGTTGAAGTGGGGTTTCACATAGGTACTGGTATTACTGAGGCCTCATTCCCAATATTCAATTAATCAACCCAACTCCACAGTGACTCTAAATTATTGCAATCTTTTTAAAAGATGAAGATGCCACCTCTTGTTTTTTATGTACTTGCGTAATCACCAGCTTTTCTGTATTCTACTCAATACCAGGAGCCTTGTTAATCTTTAATATCTTAAAATTAAAGTTATCCATTTAAAATATGGTCCTTTGCTTTGGGAAATATGATTTATCTGTCTTATTCACATCTATTGAGTAATGGCCATATTGTATAATTAATATCATTTGTTTCTCAACTTTTTTGATTATGTAACACAGATATCAAAATTGCTGATATTAATAGATCAATAAAAAAATGAAAACTTGTAGGACAAGACATAATATTATTGTCAAACCTGATACACATGGAGCAAAATTATTAACAATTTATAATTTTCTTTTTTTTTTTTTTTTTTTTACAGTGAAATCTGAGCCTGTCCATAACTTGACATGTGAAGTGTTAAACAATACAACAGCCCTCCTCACCTGGGCCTTGCGCCTGTCTGAGGACATGGAATGGATTAGGAATCAAAGTGGGGGATTCCAGTTCTTAGTTCAGTGGAGTGGTGTGAATGATAAGCAATACTGGGTGAGCTTGAAGTTTTAAGACAGCAGGCACCAGCAACTCCTAAATACATGCAGTGGGCGCTAAACCTTCATATAGCAAAAAAATATATATATATTTTTTCCTGTACTCACCAAGGAATAAATACCCTTTCTAAGATTGTTGAGGACATTATGATCTAGTATATAACTGTTTTCTAAAACTGTTTTCTACTTTTAATTTTTTCATTTTTACCCTTGCATGTTTTGTCAATATGGTTTTGGATATGGTTTTTCTAGCCAATAAAAAGTGATGGAAAAGTGTTTAGTTTCTAAAATATGAATTTTTGTTATACAGGTCATATATTGTGTGCCTAGCTTCTAGCTAAATACATAGAATAATCTTTGTAACCTTGATCATGCCTACATTTCTTGATTGCTGGGCTGACAAAGATGAGGAATAATTTGTTTCCAGTATGTATGGGCTGACTTAATTGTTTTTGTCTGTACTCTGTTTCATCAGGTACAGCATGTGACCTTATTATGTGAAACTCAATAACCATACAGTACATGTTTAACATTGGTAGAAGGCCTGACAACGGGATAAGATTTAAAGTATATGATGGGTTTATTGTTGTCATTACATGGTCTATTGAAACAGGCCATACATAGATACATGTATGTGTACCTGTATGTTTACTGATCTTAACTGAAGAGTGGCACCCACCTGCTTTTAGCTCTGCTAATACAATGTAGTTGCTAGGTATGGTTGAAAGGTTGTAAAAAGATGCCTGATGACCAAAATGCCTGATGACCAAGATCAGACTTTATAAACAAAGTTACTGTTTAATACTTCAAGCTGCAGCTTTGTGATTGCAATTCCCAAATTAATGACTTAAATTGCTATTTTATAGTGTGATCATAAAAATATTACACCCCAATATATATAAACTGCAAATGGCAAGTCCCCTCAAGTCTTTGTAAGAACATGATTGAGAGGGCATTACTTCTTTATGAATTGTTCATGGTTGAAAAAAGAATCGGTCTTTAAACAGTGAGACACCCAGTTTAAAGCTAGACAAAGTGTTTGCAGTTTACAGTGTATGTTAATTGCCATGCTTACAAGTACTTTTTACGATTGTACTGTGATATAAGTTATTAATTTAATGATGGCATAAACCTACAGCATGAAGTCATATATGGCAGTTTTTGCTTATGGGCCTGTAGGTAGGTAAATCACTGATCTACCCAACTTGACAGGAAATATGACATGACTTTAAAATTCTAGCTTCTATGTATGTATTGATTTTTGCCCGCCACCAAAGATAAAAAATAAAAAGGCAATGATTTTTACTTTTGTTCTTTACTTTTCAGAATAAGACTTTTGTATCCATTAGTAACATGTTGACCTTGAGTTTATCCGACCTTGACCCCAATCACCATTACAGTGTGAAGGTCATGGTAAAACCAAGAGGGGGACTGTACTGGAGTGAACCAAAGTCATTGGAATTCTGGACTAATTTCACAGGTACTTATGCTTTTGAATGAAAAGCATGCCTCAATTCAGTGCATGCATATACACTGCATGTTATGTCATTGAAAAGAATACATACTGAAAAACTGAAAGTCAACAAGATATGCTGCTAAAATTTGGGGTTTTTAGACTATAATGGAAAACAGATTGAATACAATATTTTTGAACAATTGACAATATACATCTCTTTCTGTGTCTATACATGTAGCTACAGAAGATACCTGTACAGGAAACAGTTCAAAGTATCTGTCTCAGCATTTGGTAAACTGTTTTAAACCCTTGATTTTATTTTATTTTATTTTATTTTATTTTTATTTGACTGCAGTGATTTCATACAAAATGTAGTCATACAATGTTAACAGTCTAAGGGCCCCTTCCCTTTAACACACCTCTTGGCATTGAGTAGAATACACCTGGTGATTATATGAGGATGTTGGAAATAAGAGGTGTGTTAATCTGTTTAACTAAATGCTTTCAGTGAGAGTCTCTGCACAGTTGTATCGATCTGAGTAGAATTATATTTTCGATGGGAATGAGTCCTAACAGCTGTTTATGATTAGAAAAAGAAAGACATGCTTGCCTTATAAAAAGATAATACAAAAACACTGTTTATATGAATATACTCATAGCTTATAAATGTTATCATTATTTTAGTGCCAAAGAGTGCTGAAGACAGTAGCAACATAGAGGCTGGGATCTTGGTTGCTGTTATTGCTCCTGTTTTGGGGGGCTTTGGTGGCTTCTTTCTAATAATTTTGACTGGTTACACTGGTTACAAGGTTTGGAGGTTAGTTGAGTCACAGAATATTGAAAGCATTGACAAATTTCATTTGTGTAGCCCATGTCTGTAAAAGAAGTATTTATATATTACGTATACTAATAATGAAAAGTTTTGTATAAATTTAGATATAAAGTTTATGAACATAGGTGGGCTTAATACAATTTTTTTTTTTGAAGGAGGGTGTTATAACTAAAGACTATAGTACAGTACTTCAGAATTGCTAGTAACTCACATTTTGGATTTATGTTAAAATTGCAGGAAGACTAGAAAGGTTATATTGATAGAGCTTCCGCCAGACATTGAACAACAGGTAATCATAGTCTTATTATGCACATGTACCGGCACATGCCCTGTTTAGGGGGTAGAGGGTGGGATACCTTGACAATTATGCAAACTAAGAAATGTGGTTATGGATTCATTTTTACTGAAATCACTGATCTGTTAGTCCTCAGACAACATGTACATAATAGATGTGATTTGGGAGTAAGAATATATTTTTTGGTTTCTCTGCCATAAGCATAGGAGCAGCATAGTCAGATTAATTGTGTAGTTTGTGTATAATTTTTTTTTTAGGAAAATCTTGAAAATATGGATAGAAGCACAGTTGGTAACAGATATCTATTGGTAGGTTCTACTTCTACTGATTTCCACTTGCTTTGCATTAATGCATTTGTAATGAAAATAAATATTTTTTAGTAAAGAAATGTATACCTAGGCTATAATGATTTCTAAATCATGAGAAATGTTGTTAAGTTAATACATAATTGAATATTATATTTGATAAACATATCAATTTAGACTTCTTTGCATTATTGCCAGCTGTACAGTCAACCACTCATGAGAGTTAATAAAGAAAGAAACTGATTCAATGATTAATTTCAACCAATGAAAATTTCAAACATTATTTTTCTGTAAATAGAGTTTTTAATTCTTTCTGTGTATGAGTAGATGCCAGCTGAGGATCCAGTTACTGTACAGGGTAGCCAAGACAGTGGCATTCTTACTGGTCAAGATGATGACAGTTCACATAGTACAGGTACCAGCACTGCTCAGTCATCATTTGACCAGATTTGCCCAAGAGCAGGACAGCTGCAAAACCAAACATATACGCAGACGAGCTCTTCAAGCATCATTGAACTCAGTGAAAGTACATTGCAAGGTGAAAAATTTAAAGAAAATATTGAAAGCCTCAGTGGAGATACATGTAAATGCAAAAATTGTAGAGAATTATTATTCCTCTATCATGCCTCTAGGAGGCTTTGTTTAGTGCCAGATGCCATTAACAGTGAGAAACAATTTAAATTTCCGGATTGCTGTGTTCAAGCAGCAAAGAAAAGACCAAAATCTCCAGCCTCCGGTTATGCTCTCCTGGGTGGTGTTGATTTCTCAGGTAAAAGTCCTGACAACCTACCCCTTTTACCTGGAGAACCAGATGAAGGGGACAGTTGGGAATTGTCTTCAAAAGAAGAATCTCTTGAATTTGAACAAAATTTAGTCAGTGATTATGGACTGTACATAAAGTGGCATATCACTCAAACCAGGACTTCCCAAAGTGACCTTGATGACACTGATGGTGATGGTGCATGTAGTGAAAACTTAAATGTTTGTGGAGTTACTAGTAAAGACTTCCAGANTCCCTTCGGTGCAGCCTGGGTTCTAATATACAGGTATATTGGCGAACAAAGTGGGCAGATTTCTTAAAACACGAATTATCTAACTTACAGGCTGAGACAGCAGAAAACAGTAAAACCTATAGCTCGGCTCTCACGTTTTTTTACCTGAGTCTGAAATAGTTAATTATTTCATTTCCGATTCCAAATTGGCTATCACTCTGGAAACAGACGGATATTAATTTCAAAATTAAATTAAATTCACTGCTAAGCCGTATTATCTAAGTAATTAACGCTGTCCAATAAGGGGAAATGATAAAAATGTTACTTCTTTTAGAAACAACTTTGCCCGAAACCGTAAATATTTTAATGTCTAAAGCTTCATTCTAACATTTATTGGTTAAAAAACAAAAAGTAAAAAGGTTTTCTACTCCTATCCCTATAACATGCATTACCCATTTGTCGATGAGTACAGTCGTCTATAGTGAATAACTTTTCACGTTTAATACAAGTATGGCGTGCATTTAGCGACATTTACAGTACATATAATCCACTCGCTATAAAAGGGCCTTCCCTGAGTTCCTACGGATAGCAGCTGGCAATAGGAAAAGTAGTGAAGAAAGTCATTTGCTCCCGTGGCGAAATATCCTTTACTGTACAGAACAGGATTTTACACGAGTAAGTGAAATTATATCTTTTCATCAATGATTTTGTCTGTAATATAGGATTCTACGCACGATAATTTGTTCATAGGTCGACAGTGTACACATGTATATGAATATTTACTAGGCCATAAATTAATAGAAAACTGCGCTTACTCTTTTTATGTATACAATATTAGAGAACAGAGCATATGGGGCAAGTCAAATCAACCAGCTTTTGAATATCGAGATGCACTATTATGTTTGCTTCCTTTTAGGAATAAAAATTTCACAGCGCTTCAAAGGCGTTTATCAGTTTTCTATGGTAAGACAGTTACCGTTGACGCCGTATAATGTTCTTTTCTTTAAGGTGCCAAAGGATAAAGAAAATGAGTTCCACGGCTTCTTTGGTGTGTCTTATTTTTGGGGCTTGGTTGATAATCGGGCTATACGCTGCACCTGATGACGGTAGGTGACTGCGCCATCTTCTCTCTCTCTCTCTCTCTCTCTCTCTCTCTCTCTCTTACACACACACACACACACACACACACACACACACGTGCGCTTACACTACTGAAAATTAACATAGTTTGCGATCTTATATCAGTGACTTTGAAATCTGATTAAATATGATATTCAACGATGACGCTATCACGGTGACGTAATCAGAAAAAAAGATTACATATCCTCGATCAGACAACAACGAGGAAAGAAGAAAGCAACGTTGCAACTTTTGGTGTCAGCCGATGCCGCTTTTTGGGGCCTGCAAAACATATTAACCTCAGCTAAAGTCGGTAATCATATTTGAATTTATTTAATGCAGTGTTCAATATTTCGCAAAAGGATGAACACAAACATCAGAGCAATCACCTGCAATAATGTTAATCATTTCTTAAGCCCCCTTTACACCGAACGGCGTCCTTTCTGCGTCCCGTAGTATGGTCTCATTTAAAATAAAAAAAATACTTCCGAGCCGACAAGCATTCATACTGCAACCAAAGCGATGCTTGCGCCTCTTTTCTACGACCACAGCAATGCCAGTTTCATGGTCTAACAAAGAACGCAAAAAAAACACCCCGTCCAGTGTAAAGGGGGTTTAAAAAAGTGCCACACTTGCAACTCATGGCTACGTACAATATGAAAAAATTAAGGCACAACAACAGTACCAATTCAGATGACAAAGTGCCGAATATCTTTAGAAGAAAAATGCCGTTAAAATTGTTTGTTGTCAGTTATCAAAATTCATATTTTCTTTATTCAAGTTGAGGACCCCTGTCGGCCAGACAGCCACGCTCTACTCAGCTCAGCCAGTAGAAACGTGGCCCGCGGGTCAAGGTATCGCTCTATGTCGAGTGCAAGATGCGACCAACTCCTACACGGGTGGAAGGAGCAGTGGTATAGGTTCACCGGGGAAGCGGGGAGCAGAATGGCGACCGAGGTGAGCGAAGTGGCTTTGCTTTTCGTCACACCTAACGCACTCTTAATGTCATAGGTCTTCTCAACGACATTGAAAAAGAGCACAGAATTGTGAAAATATGCCAATGTGAAAAAATACAATCGCAGCGAGCGCACGTTGACTTTACAAAATAGGCTCTCTCTCTTTCTCTCACACGCACACAGAGAGAGAGAGAGAGAGAGAGAGATAGTTGGTAAACCATCATTTTCCTTGTCTCCTTAGTGTCCCAAAGGATACTCCTGCGGCACCTGGGCCTCGCTGTGGATGAAGGGAACCTTGCCAACCGTGGAAGAAGGCGTGGTGGAACGCAACATATGCGGCTCATACCGGGGCAACTGCTGCATGCAGAAAGACCCTATCATCAGCGTCAAGAACTGCGGGGACTTCTACGTGTATTACCTTCGCTCCACCTACTTTTGCTCCGCCTACTGCGGGACTGATGACGTGTGAGCACCTGACTGGCTAGCGCAACGCCTCGTCCCTTATTTGGCATAAAACGTGGCGTCATCAATTAGGGGAAACTAGCAGTAATCGGTCAAATGCGCTGTGTGTAATATTATTACTTTGGTGATTGAAAAACTACTGTTTGATGTCAAATGAGGACATGACGTTTTGTTGTGGAAAAAAGTTCCACCAACCTATATGTTTTGCATCAAATAGTGTTCAAATAATAAAATAAAATTCCATTTTCTTGTATATCTTGATATCCCCCATGGCACATAAAAATTAAACTAATAAATTGTAAGAACAAACACCACATAACCCACGAGAAAAGAAAAACAGATAATTGCCTCTTGTCTTAGCTCGTATATGTAATGTGCGTATTTGAATAATGTGGCAATGGCAGGGCATATATAGTGGACGAAAGAATATAATGCAGACACGTAGAAAAAGTATTTAGCTCTTAGAAACTTGATGCAACTGATTAAACTTTATATATGGTCGCTGTGACCCCATAGGAATTTTTGCCTCAATGGCACACCCGATGATACTGGAGTGACATACCCCTGACACTCGCTCTTAACAGAATTGTGTCAATCAAATAAAATGCAGCAAACAAAGAATACAATTAAAGGGGAAAAAACGTAATCAATAAAACATAAAGGAAAAAACAAACAGGAAAATACAGATTTTTTTTCTTTTCACTGGAAAGATTATTTGTTGCCAAACTTATGTCATTCACGTAAGATAACATCCGTGAGCATAATTGATATAGGTCTGATTCCTTCCTCTCGATTCCAAAACTATGTCCAATAAATATGTACGAAGATGTAAGGTTTTGTTATGTCTATAAACATGTAACTGTATCCCAAAAACGAAAGGGATGCTTGATCGTATCGATGGTTTTGAAAACTGGATCCAACGGGAGAGATACAATTTTCGTGTAAAGCACAATTTGCCCATGGAACCAGTATTTCATAGATAGATATCCCATAGATATCAATTGAAAAAAATATATATACATCTGTTGTTCCCCTTGAAGAAAACTTGCGCAATACTTTTATCCCCATATATATATTTAACTTGAAAATCGGCCCTTGTAATATTGAACCTCTGTGAGTGTATCCATCTTAAAGGATTACTTTAAAACTCATCTCACCAAGATTACGTCATATAAAATGTTTCCAATATTTTTTCCCACTAGAATGATCATGTTGACCTAGTTACGTTATCCACGAAATATTACATCCCTGTGCATAATTTATATAGGCTCGATTGTGTCCTCTAGGTGGATTAACAATATCTAATAAATATGTACGAAGATGTAAGGTTTTGTTATGTCTAAACATGTAACTGTGTCCCAACAACGAAAGGGCTGTTTGATCGTATCTATTGTTTCCCAAACTGGATCCAACTGGAGAGATACAATTTTCGTGTAAAGCACAATTTGCCCATGGAACCAGTATTTCCTCATAGATATCCCCTTGTCTAAGCCAGCCGTTTAAATTCCCACTGATAGACCCCTTTCCAACGTAGGGTCCTATTGTGATGTTGAAATATGTGAACATTCCAGGATGAGCTACTTTTGTCACCGCACCATTTCCACGTAAGCCGGAATAAACATAACCATCTTTTTGAAAGAGAGAAATTATTATTTCTTTCATTCTTCCACTAATGTGGCTGCCGGCGTCCACCCAAAGCACTGCCTCGAGTTCATCGACCATTTGTTTAATAATGACCGGTTTGAAGGCGTACGTGTGCAGGTTGCGAAAGTGAGGGGGGTACCTTTCAAAGGGGAACCTCCTATACGTCACGCTGGACCAGCTTTTTACAGTCTCCACCTCTTTGGCGGTCAAACCGAGGTCCCACACCACGATTTTGAGAGTTGGTTCCCAGAAACAGAATGACCCGACGTGGTTAACGAGAGCCGGGGAAAAATACTTGTGATTAGCGCCTGTGACGATTGTAAAGTTGTTGATTTCAATAAGTTTACCCCTTGCAACAGGTCCTTTAGGCTTTGTCTCTCTCTGCAAGTCTGAAAAAATCCACATGGGTACCTTATTTTACATGACGTATATGTGCCAACTGTTACCTCTAAACAGATTATTAGATTTGCCTAAGTTGCGTGTACACAATAGCTATACATTGGTATTAGAGAAACAAAAAGTATCTCGTATGTACCGGCTAATTTGCAGATCACCAAATGGGGGAAAGTGTATATAAAGTGTATATACAGTGCAACATTGGTCAAAAAGGTTGTCCCACCCCCATTCCCATGTACTTTTATTTACAACTGATCAATTTACAGCTGTAAATTGTTCGAAAAAGTGCTTTGTATTCCAGATACCGTGTCTAACGCGATTAAGGGTTCAAAAAATTTAAAATAGTGGTGAAAGTATACAAATTTTATACCACTAAGTAAAATTTATAACAGGTACCCCTTCAAATCCAATATTTCACTGTGATTTCAACAGATGTAAATAAATGTCTATTAAATTAAAAAGAGGCCATCAAATGTCACCAAATTTACACACAATTAGCATTAGGGTGTGCTTGTTAAAAGTCACGTGCATAATAGCGAGTGCGGCTACATGTACCACGTACTGCAATTATCTCCTGTAGATGGCACGACAAGCCTTCAGCACGGGTAACAGTTCTGTTTTGTGGGATATTGTCCCATTCTTCTTAAACAACTTGGGGGAGATGGTCCACGCTTTTATGGAATTGGGTCTCCTCTGCAATTCCCACTCTAATTAATGTCACAGTTGATTAGTAAGGTTAATATCAGGGACCAAAGATGGTTGGTACATCCTTAAAGCATTGTGTTTCTACAACAAATCACTTGCCAGGCGAGAAGTGTGAGCAAGTTTGCCGTCATGATGAAGCCTTGAGTTCTTGAAGATGGAGTGAGATATCAGCTAAGAATGCTACGTTCATTGATCCCACAAGCATCTGAACGTAGAAATCCATCACTGGAAGGAAGTCGGTTTTGATGCAGAATCAAGTTATTTCTTGTATCCCATTGATGGTCAAATGAGGGTCCACAGACATGTTGAAAAATGCCTCTTGGAAGGGTGTGTGCAGGATAATATTGCCTGAGGTGTTAGATCAGTCCGCATCTGGAGAACATTCCGAGCCCATGGTATCAGTATATTGTTCCTTTTGGAACTAAACGTAACTTGGGCATTTTACTGTAACATTCTCAACAGATAGCTAACTACATTTGCAAGAGGTGACTTCAAGGATGCTGCAGGCTTCATTGTGACAACGCACAAGCTCAAAGTTCTCGTCTGGCAAGCGATTTCTTGCAGAAACACAAGGCTCTGAGGATGGGACAACAGTCTTTGAGTCCTAATATTTATCCTATTGAGCACCTGTGGCATTAATTGGAATGATCATTGCAGAGGATAACCAATTCCCAACTAATCTGGACCAATTCCGTCTCGCTTTTTAATATGAATGGGACAACATCCCACCAAACAGAATGGTTACCCGTGTTGAAGACTTGTCGCGCTTATCTACAGGAGATAATTGCAGTACACGGTAGTCGCACTCGCTATTAGGCACGTGACCTTTAATGAGTACACCCTAATGCTAATTGTGTGTAAATTTGGTGACATTTGGTGGCGTCTTTTCAATTTAATAGACATTTCTTTACATCTGTAGAAATCACAGTGAAACATTGGATTTGAGGGGGTACCTGTTATAAATTTGACTAAATGGTATAAATGTACACATTTTCACCACTGTTTTGTATTTGTTTAAACCATTAATCGTGTTAGAAATGGTATATGGAATAAAAGGCACCGTTTATAACAAATTACATCTGTGAGGTGATCATTTGTAAATAAAAGTACATGGAAATGGGGGTGAGACAACCTTTTTGACCAATGTTGTATATTACACCACTGCATGGCGATAGGGGAGAGAGGGAGGGGGTGGCATTATCATCATCGTCATTATTATTTTTGTTTTTGTTGTTGTTATTGCTATTATTCGCAATGGGTAGAGTAGGCTTACCTTTATCTAATACCTTTTTCTTCACACCTATCACCCCGTTGATCACAATCCACAGAACACCTACCACAATCAGGAGAACCCACTGACACCGCATCCTTATGATTCAGTTGGTTTTGTTCCGTTNTTTACTTGCTACTTGGTAAGATTGTTATTCCAATATATATATATATATATATATTGGAATAACAATCTTACCTAGGCAGATTTTAAACCCACCTAGGTGGGTTTAATATCAAGCCAGAATAAAATCCCAAGGCACAGACAATTTTAGATTATGAAAAGATCTATCACATCTCTAAGCATTTAAGTTCTAGATTCTGTAATTAAGAACATCTGTTTTGAGCGATCTTGCATATGGGGGAATGCAAAACATTTTATTTATTTATTTATTTATTTATTTATTATTATTATTATTATTGTGATTTTTTTTTTGTTGTTTTTTTTTTTGCCTCATAGATTGAAATACAAGAGTAAAAGTAATTCCAGCCATCTTTTTGGCTCTTCGATCATTCCTAAACATAACTCGGGTGTAATAGGGCTGTCTGCAAAGGGTTAACTTGTTCCGTCCAAATTTTTGTACCAAATATATATGTAGAACATCACTTTTTTATATTCTGATTGGTCTGTCTGTCTTTGTCATCGCTCTCAATGTTGCTATCTTCTGCTAACTTCCAAACCATATTTTTGTTATACTTTAATTTACTGAAAGACTTTCTTTGGTAAGATGGCAGTTTGCTTTCGAAAATCGCCATGATTGGTATACATTTATGGTAATTATTCTGTTTATTATTATTATTATTTTTTATTATTATTATTATTATTATTTTTTTTTTTATTTATTTTATTTTTTTTTTGCAGTTTTGGTGACGTTTGCCTCCTAACTGCCAAACCATACATTTGTTTTACTTTAAATTTACTGAGTGGCTATGTTTAGTAAAGATGCAGGTTGCTTTCATAAATTGGCATGATCGGTTTACATTTACATTAATCATTCTGTTTTTTTTCCAATTTTGGTGATGTTCATCCCATAACTGCCAAATCTTATCTTTGTTTTACTTTTAATTTACTGAGTGGCTTTGTTTGATAAAGAGGCAGGTTGCTTTTGAAAATTGGCATGAAAGGTTTACATTAATGGTAATTATACATTTTTTTTTTTTTTTGCACAAGTTTGGTGTGGATTGCCCCATAACTTCCAAATAATATTTTTAGTTTACTATAAATTTACCAAGTGTCTTTGGTAAAGTGGCAGGTTTCTTTTGAAATTAAGATTATCAGTTTATGATAATTATTTTGTTTTTAATGTGTGAATTTTTCATTTTTCACACATTAGCATTTTCAGTGGCTTTTATATCACATGGAATTGAATCACTTGCTAGTTTTTCAATGTCCATGTTACCTGTAGTACATAATGTAAGAAGGTAACAATGCTTATGCTATTTTAAAGCATTATTTTGTGCACTTTTTTTCTGTGTAATGTCTGAACATTTGACAGCTTTGCTGCCATGTTTCCTGTATGGTATCTGTATATTTGTCAGCTTTGCTGTCTAGTTGCATCTTAACTCAGGAAACCACTGTTGCCTCTACCCTGAAATCAGTTTGGGAGAACATTGCTGCCTCTTGACAGGGAGGACTATGGCACCTTTAGTTTCTGGACACTGGTGGGAGTTTGTCCATTCAATCCAGAACACTTGGAAAGGGAATTTTTATACTTTCATGAATTACTTTTGTAAATTTATCTGGACGCTAAAACTACCCAGTAAGTTTCTGAATTTCATGGATGGGACTTTTACTGTATGTTCTTGGACAGTTAAGATGGCAGTTGGTGGGCAAAATGATTAACTGTGCAATTCGAAATAACCCCTTCATAAATTTGTCTCATTTAACGTTCACTTACGGTTCTCAATCAATTCTAGAACATTTGGCGTATATTTTTTACAGTTCTAATGTTGTTTTGTAATGAATTGAACAGTTCAAGAACTGTGTCCTTCAGAATGTCCTAGAACAGATAAAGAACATCTTTCCTAAAAAGAGAAAAACATGTTCTAGGTCAGATTGAGAACCATGAGTGTTAAATGAGACAAACTTTTGCAGGGGAATAGGGGTGGGGAGGGGGTGCGAAACACCAACTTTCTCAGTGTTTTTCATTCCTATATTTGTCAAAAGAACACAGACCAAAATCACATATATATATATATATATATATATATATATATATATATATATATAAGTTATATCATATTTATTACACAGTTGCTACCTAAGTTGTATTTTATTCCCCCCCCCCTCTTTTTTGATTAAACTTTTGGTGACTGAAAGTACATAAAAATAATAATTTGGAATGTTAACAATAAACATTAGAAATACATTTCAATGTTTAAATTTTTGATTGCTTTAATGAGGCTGCTCACTATTTTGAATTTCTATTCAGGTGAATAGTTAAATAAGTGATAAATTTATTTTAAGGTATACTATCATCATTTGAAACTGCCTCGAAGTCATATTTATTTATTCCATCAGGGGTGGGCCAAACACTGACACTTGAGTTTTTACATATAGGAGAAAAAAATATTTTTAAAGAAAACTTGATTTTGTGTGAAAATCCCAAATAGGATACCGTTTAGGGTACATGTACAACTATCTCTGTTGAAGAATTAGATCTTTATCAAAGCAGCGCATTCCAAAAAAAGTTGGGTTTGATTGGGTTTGATTTTAGCATGTTCATTTTTATCGTTTGCTGATTATGTTAGAACACACCAGCCTTAATCACTACCTGAGGTCTTCTTTGGCTTTATAGAATGCGGATTTTGAGACTATCAGGCTGTGTACGCCTGTGTAAGTACCCTGCCTCTTCCCGCCCCCAAACAAACTGGCACAGCACAGCACAGCAGCCAAGAAGATAACTGTTTGGGTGGATGTAATCACACTTGGACAGGTGTCCTTCTACATGTGACAGTTAGAGAAGGCAGAGAAGACCTATGGTAACATTGGTTGCACTTGTGAAGTGTTTATCTCCAGTCTCATAAAATGCCACTACATGTAGTGTGTGCAAGCCTGTTGATTAATGTGAAAGCATCCATAAGAAAGCTATCTATGCAACAATAAGCTCATTTTGTGCTCAGGTGCATGCCTGTGAATGTTCTCATACACCACAATAGGACTACCAATTTCTTAAAACCTCTTCTGCCATCACTCAACAATCTGCCCTGGTGCTGATAGATCTACAATGTATATCACAATGCCCATATTTGGCCCACATATAGGCATTCACATTTTTGCCAGTCCTGCAGTGTAAGGGAAAGAGCCTGCTTCTCCTCCAAGAATTCTCCACTGTGTCCTTTTTGTGTCAACATTCAGTGATATTATAATTTTGGGTTCTCTTCCGTGATTGTGAATGTAATTTAAAGACAGAGACAAATTGTATAACAATGCCGTGTTATATAAGTATCAAGACAAATATTCCAAATGTTGGTTAGGTTTAAACGATCTTTAATTTTTCTTATGTTATCAATAAAGAAGACACAGTGTATTAACACAAAGAATTAACTTCAAAATTTTGTATGAATTTCTTTAATTACAAATATCTAGGGCTGTAATCCGAATCCATACATTTGTGTGTATAGAGGAAAAAGGTTTCAAATAATCTTTCATATGAAAAATATATGGAGTATATGTAATGTATATTTTAATCAACATCATTTAGAGATGCCTATAAATAAATTCATAATACAGGACTCCAATGGGCGTTATGGTGTTAAGGCAACCTTAAAAAAATTTTTTTTTAATATCAGTCAACCCCATCCAAGCGTTCCTCCTCCGCCTCCTCTTTTTTTTCTCACATTCGACTGCTCAGAGAACCACTCTGGATTCACAACATAGGTGGCTTTTGGATAAAACTTTGGGTTGTAAAACATGGGGCCTGTCTTAAAATTAATGTCTTTCTCATTTCTCAATTCATTGTTCTGTTCTATGTTAATTTTGAACTCGGGTGCTGGTATTGAGTAGGCAGGTCGAGCATCCACTGGTCTGGAAAAGATAAGATGGTATAACGTTTATTAGTATATACATGTATCTATAATTATTTTAATACAATCATCGTAGTAGATTTTGTAATTTAAAAGTCAAAAACAAAACAGACCTAATATGCCTTTTGATTTTATTCTTTGAAAAGTAATACAACGCTAACTATGTATGATTTATATTTTGTGAATCAGTTAAGTGCTACTTTATACCACTCACTTCAAAACTTCCCGTTTCCAGTCCTCAAGACTGCGATGCGAATTAGACTTTCTAGGACCTGTCGCTGCTTCTCCATTCTCTATAAGAGGTGGAAGAGTGATGAGTTCAGAGGTTAGGGCTGCTATAGGGGGACTCTTAGTTTTCCCTTTTGGGCGTGTATTAATAGAAGTGAAGTACTTGGGTGTGGACAAATTCCGATCTTCTCTCTCTGGCAATACTTCTTGCTTTTTGTTTGGTGGTTGGTTACGAAGTAAGACCAGTTGCCTTGGGGTTTGTGTGCTACCACTGGATTTCTTCATATTTTGCCAAAAACTTCTCATCGCCTCAGTTTCTGTTAAAATAGACAACAAGGTATACTGGTAGAACAGAAGTGACTGTGAGTGTTATATTGCCAAAAGTTCAAATAATGATTAAAATGTACATGTATCTATACAGCTAAATTATTTCAAATGCAAATTAATTGCAAACTTCTAAGTATGGCTTATTATAAAATATCGTTGAAAAATCGGGCCTGATATTGTATTAAAATGGTTAAAGACACTACGCAAACCTTGCCTCCTTATTCACAGCATATTTTGATAATTAAATGCTAAATATTTCCCTAACCAAGGGAATTTTGAAAAAAGTTACAACAGAAGTCAGTGGAAATTTGGAATTGGACCAAAAATTTTACCTTTGACCTATATTTCAAGAAACCATGGGTTAAAATCTTGTAAAATATTAAAATTTTCTGTGGAAAAATATTTATTTGTACCAATTTGCATTGATGTTATGGTGAGATGTTAGAGCACATTCAGAACAGCAAACTAACAGATCCGCAGATCAAACATGGCCGACCCACTTGAAAGCTTCTTGCGCAATCCCCAAATCTATCCAGTGCTCAATCGGTAAGCTTTTAAGTGGGTTGCCAAATTTGATACGCAGATGTGTGAGTCTGCTGTTCTGAATGCACTCTTAGACTACAGTCAATCGGTGCATTTTCGTGAGAGAAGCAGCCATCAAAACATATACTTCCATAGCTACCATTTAACTTGAATGAGGTTAATTTCGTTTAAACTTGGTGTCAATTTTGGTGTTAAACATCATGTAAAAATTGCATCAAAATTGACAAAATAACCTATTTTGTGCATCTATTTTGTTTTTATGTCTGTACATTTTTCAGCTTTTCTCTTTGTTTAAAGAAAATTCCTGTATTTTCTTTATTATTATTTCAAGAAAAGCAGTACAAAAATTGTTGTGTGCCAGTACATGTCAGCAACAACGTGTCGGGAGGGGGTATCCAGCTGAAGTAGCAGTGCTGCCCTCTTCCACCGCCCTTTACTGGAAGATCTTGGTCTGCGACACTGTTATGTGATCTGGACAAAATATTTTGCAACGTTAAAGAAAAAAATCCAGCTGCTAGTGCAAACAACACGATGTAGGGTCACACCACAGACTCAGGCGAAAGGGATTTTGCGTTATTTGATCTTCAAATAAAACAAATAGCAACTAACGAGCAAATACAATGATGCAGGCTGCAAAATATTCTACTGGCCAAGCCTTAAAGAAGTGTCTTCAAAAGCAGGGAAGTAGGTCTTACATATAATACAATACTTCAATTGACCAGGGTATAGCTGCTAGTTAGTGTAATAATGGAGCTATTATTTTAGGCACAAAATCACTGGTTTGCTTTTACTGCATTACTCACATAATCGATTTGGGTAAGTAGCAAAACATTGTCGCATGGAAGAAAGAGCTCTGTAAAGCGCCTTTCAAATAATTTGTATGAAATCTTTGTTAAAATCGATATCAAGTGGTTAGATAAATATGCATGTTTTCTTTTCTAACCATTTAGGTCGACTGCTAAACATACAAACACTACAATATCACCATTGTGAACGGTGAGAAATGTACAGAAGCGAGACGTGTAGGTTTTTTAAACTGGTTCAAAATTAAATGCTCAGGAAACTGAACAATTCGATTTGGAATGCAGTATGCCTCTGAACTTGACTACGGTAAATGTGGCTGGTATAACCAGCTACAGGTAAACACACTCTTTATTTAAATAAAAAATTCTTACCCAGTCTCTTCCGATTACTTGCCATGCTCCTGGCATCTTCTTGCCCTTTCTGCATAATGACAGGTAATATGTCGTAGAGCTCCTGCATGCTTTTGACGCGATCTAGAAGCTGAAATAAAATCACATCCAAGCAATAATTAGATTTTATAGATTTTCAAATAAAAGAAAAATAGAGAAAAAGTGCAAATCGATTTTACGGGGAAGCCAAAGCACATTTTTGTGAGAGTATTGCGTTTACCAGTACCTACACACACGTTAAGAATGGCAGTGAAGCAATGGTGGCAAACTATAAAAACTCTGCTGGCAATCCTTCAGGTGGAGTACTCCAGTTTCAGTTATCTTTCAATTTGCAATAAATTCTATCAATAAAAGGTGTTACATTCACATTTCAAAGGTATTTTTTAACGGATCCCCAGCTCAGTTTTACAAGTGCACAATGAATACAGACCACGATCATGATACTAAATGGGAGTACATTGGATCTGAAACTGGAGTCGTGTTTAATACGTGACTGAAGACACTTAGGAAGTATTGGTTTCATGTGCATAATATGTTTTGCAACAGTGAACCCACTGGCTTCTCTGCGTGACAGATTTATGTTTTAATTTAAAGCTCTCCCACGATCGCGTTGCTAGGTTATCAGCGTTGCATATTTGAGCGACCAGTTTTGATAAAAGGGGTTTAAATTGTAACTCCCAAAGCATATAATCTATGCACACTCATATACCCACTTGAACAGCAAATTTTATATTTAAATCCAATTAATTTGGCATTTTAAGCAAATAAACTTTTAAAGTTAATAGAAGTCTTCTTACATTTTATACAGCTAGGGAATGTTATGAAAAAAATGTCCAGAATTATCATTCGTTGCATAATCAAAGCATGGTGACCTTCAAAAATTGAAAAAAACTTCTGTTACTAGTACTACATACATTGTTTTGTGCATTGATGAAATTATAAATATCCCTAGTGAAGTTCACTAATTATCTAATTGGAAAATCAAAAACTGTTCCTAAATCGGAAACATTGCAATCTAAATCCACCTGTTTTACATACCTTATTGTACCTGCGGTCTATATATTTCACCATTAGCTCAGTCAATGCAAGTTAAAAATCTCTGTGCGTTTTCAAGCTGACCGACAATCGTCTTTCCCATTGCACTGCCTGAGAATGTTGACAGTGGGGCGCAATTCTGGCTGCGCTACTGAACTATTTTGTATCACTGCACACTTGTTAATTTACAACCTAGAAGTGTCAACACAATTCGCGATTAAAACAATCAATCTAATGCAGCACACGCTGGGTGTTTATCTTATCGAGCGAAGGTACTACTGACATAGGTGACTGCACGCGCGAGCCCTGCCTTTCTTTTGAGTTCCCGACCTATTTACGCTGGATTAGCTTTCATGAAGGCCTCGTCGTCCGGACGACGAAAGATAAAGCTCACGAAAACAAACCGGTAATACTGTGCCAATTTGAACAGATAAACAGGTGCGAATGTTAATAGAAGAATGCAGATATGGAATTTTCATTGAGCAGGGGTCTCTCCGTAAAAAACATGATATAAGGGGACGTTGAATTGGTTGTATGACGATAGAAAATGAATTTTGAATTTTAGTTTTTTAAGTTCTGTCTTTTATGCCAAGTATTTTTGTTCTTATTGTAGATGCATCTCAGCGAAGCAATGTCATTAAAACGCCATTTGATCGCGGCGTTGTATGAAACATTGAATTTTTGAGTAATAGATGTTCTTATCGTGTCCATCACTACGAGGAAAGAATATTTCTTTTCTTTTTTCCTGAATTGGCCTAAAACATATTTTAGATTTATTGTAACTGGAGACTTAATGGAAAAAGGCATAGCTTGCATGGTAAGGCCAACTAAGCTACGCAAATATTTACATTGCTATCCTGTTTTCTAAATGCAAACTTAAAGAAATTATCTAATTAATCAAATCTTAATGCTAAATATATCCATGAGGTATCTTGCGCACAGTAGAGGACTCATTGCAAATATAACACAATGAAGTCTGCTATTGATTTAAAAGCTAAGCTTAGACTTACAGCATGTTGCCATTAAAATATTTCTATTTCTTGATATATTATAGACAAAGACATAAGATATAAAAATTTATGAGAAGAAGATTAGAAGATGAAGTTACAGGCAGCAATGTCATCATCGGTGACGGAGACGGTCCATGCCAGTACTGAGAATTCTTTGCCAGCAGTAATGTGTTAGTTGTGATACACTTGCACATTCATGCTCTGTCCGAGACCAAATGTGCCAAGGTGCACCTAGTTTGTCTCTCATCTCCTCTTATTATTATAATTAATAATCTGTAACATAAGCTTGCACGTTATTAGCATGGAGTTATTTTAAATTTGCGAAAAATTCCCATCCGTCTCTGTCCTGCCTGTTATCCTGGAGCACCAGTCATTTTATATTCACTATCATTCTACATCATAGTATGTCAGTCTATATAAAGATAAGTCATCTTGAAGTAAAACGAAATCTTGATTTTCTTTTCAGATTTGGTGCTAAAATTGACGAGACAAGTTACGCTTTTTTTCAACATAAAATACTTTCTGCTCCGTTGACACTTTTCTCACAACGCACTTACCATCCATGATTCCACTGAGATGCCATCTACCAGTAGTGGTAAGAAAACAAGAACCTTTGAATAGCTTTTTAATCTCTTCTTGGCTTGCTTTAAATAAAATCAAAGACATGATTCAAGGTATTTTGTTGTCCTGGATCTTCCAATATTTTACCTTTTTCTACCACTATTTTTGCTTTTATTCCAACGGAGGGTCACTTCGATTTTAAATGTAATCATATCTCCGCTCAAAAACTGATTATTAATTTGGAGTCATAATCCAAGGCGTAGTAGGGGTAGTAGGGTAGTAGTAGAATTTTTTTTTTCTTTTTTGTTACCTTGGCATCTTGTTTTTTGCAAACTATAACACAATTTCATTAAAAGACGGGGTTGGGGATGGAGTCCGCTCCTCAGTCTTTTTCCACAACCTGTATCCACGAGTGTGACTGAGCTGTCGGAAAGTGACTTGGTAATCCTTTAAACGGCTGTTAATAACTAAACTGGTATATTTGTCTTTTTTCCTCTTGTACGGATCGTCCCCTTACACAAAATAAACACGTTATATTTCAGATTCGGTCGTGCGAATGTTGGTGCATGGTTTTTATAAAAAGTAACGAAGAAAAAGTCCAGTGTTATTTTCAGAGGCTATTCTTAAACATCAGTTCCAGCTTGGGCATAATAACGAACGTTATTATGTCTAATGTTCCAGTTACAGAAGAGATTTAATATCCTGAAGAGAAGTATGTGTTTCTTAAGAATGATAAACCTGAGACTTGTATTACGACGTCCCATGGTCTTCTAAGCAATAAAGAATTAGGCCCTATCATAAAGGAAATGTTACACAAATGTTAAATTTTACACAAAGAAAGGGTTAAGATAGTTTACAGCACGATGAATGTCAAAAATATGAAAACTTACTTCGAGTGGCGAAAATAAGTTTTTTTCGCATAAAATTTTTATTGCATTTTCGAAACTTCCAAAAGTTTACCGGACATTTTATGCTGAAGGAGCACATGATCGGTCTTGTGATTTAAGAAATAAAGCCAATGTTCCAACTTACCCGCGTTCCAACCCACCCCGCTCTCCCCTACATCATTGAAAACAAATCAATCAATTAAACTATGTAGGGCCTATATAAATCCTTCACAACTTTACTGATTTCTGATCTATACTTTACACTCTGAAAATGACAACAATATTTTATTTAAGTATATGCTGTTCCTGTTTTTAATTGTTTTGCGACTACCCTTTTTTATCTCTATTTTATATACAGAGTGCTGTACTTACTCAAGTGTATAACTGATGACGCAAGATCTACATATAAGATACAACACGCGCATAAAGTCAAGCTACATTAGATCTGTTCACTTGTATAGCTCGCGTGCAGTCACATCTAGGTTTGTGAACGCATATGTAGGCTGATTTAAAAAAATCACGAATATTTATTATTATTTTCTCAGCTAAATTAAAAATATAACTCGCCTTCACTTTTCTGATCTTAATTAAATATTGCGTTTTATCTCAACAATAACCACTTAGCATCTAGGACAATGGTCTGGTTCACTGCAGATACGGACATCACAGCCGCAAACCCAGACTGCATTGCTTGGCGTAGTTTGCTTGCACCGTGCACTGCACCATGCACAAACAGCATTATTGTGCTCCAATAGTAACAGGTTTTACATGAACAATCTATTACTGGTGAAAGTTCATGCATTTACTTTTATGATATATTATATTATATACTGTTCTATCACAATTCTTCAAAATACTATAACATTTCTCTTAGATATAACTATCATCAAGGAAGGATATTTAATTTTGCTGGGCATTAAGTAGCCTACGATAATTTCTTATCGATTGCATGGACCTGTTGATGACCTACATATTGTGCACGTGAACAGGAGCCGACAGCTGCGTGATAACAGGTCACAACGCTATTTACAGCTGTGAACGTCTTGGAGAACTAGAGTGAGCGCGTCTTCTGTTGATATTGTGGACAATTCCCTCCTGATTTTCTCCCCCAGGGATCAGGTAAGTTGCCTGTAGAATCTGGATTACCTTTGGTGATGATTATTTGCAGTTCTTGTCAATTGGACCGTTATGGCGTGACATTACGTGATCGGTCTTTCAGACCATAGCACTCTGACTGAGATCTTAGTCGCTAAGCCAGACATAACTTTGGGAATAAGGGTTTATTTAATAACTAAAATACATTGCTCTTTTGTTTTACGATATTCGAAAAGGTACGGATACACAATAGGTATGCCTATGGGTTTATCGAATAAAAGTGAAGACGACACGACCGTATAGATCTATATTATGTAGCCTGTAGGAAGCAGCCTTAGAGAAAAAAAGTCGTATGTTAAACTGTTTAGGCTGTGTATTTCATATTGCTGCAAATTACCTCTGACGGGGGTAGCGCTAGCAATATATATATATATATATATATTTTTTTTTTTTTTGTCAATTTGTTATCAAAATGATCATAATTTGACTAAAGCAAGTCAAATCGGACCTTTTTTCTTTAGCCATTTTGAGTCAGTTTTAGCATTTGGCTAAATTGGCGAGTTTTAGTGCTACCCCAGACTGAGTTGCTACTAAAATGTATTTTGGGATATAACAATATCCCCATGTGACCATAGTCAGGGGTGACGTATTTGTATTTTTTTGTCTTCTAAAAACCCCAAATAAACTTTGTCCTCATGCACTGATCAGCAGTTGAAAAAGACGAATGACTCATCATTAATATAGTTCAAGGGATAATAACTCTTTGTTTCGGCCAAAAAATGAATTTCCCTGGAGTAAACAACAATTCTCCCATACTTACCAATGGTTAATGAATCCATTTTTACATTCATAGTTAGTCCCTGTTTTTTTTTTTTTTTCTTGAAAGTTTGGTTTTTTGTTAAAATCTCTTGTGAAATATAAATCTCATACGAAGAGTTATTATCCCTTGAAGTTTTTGTTTTCTCTCTGATTTTCAAACATATAATGAAAAGTTATGACCCATACTAAGAAACTCCCATTTTTTCAGGCTACGGACGTTAAATGCGTATCATCTTTACCAACCACATAGCTGTTTTTATTGTAACCAAGGATATTGGCAAACCTGTACATAATGGTGCTGTCAGCCATACTTGAACACAGAACTGGGAAGGATATCGCTGTCCAAGAACCAGTTTATAAGTAAGAATGTCTATTAAATTAATTTAACTAATTAATTTACATGGGTAAAGGTTTTCAGGATTATGCCTGATTTCAGAACCGTTTTTTTTTTTTTTTTTTTTCCATATGGTCTAAATACGATAAGAAGTTGCAAGCTATACTTTCAGTTTTCTTCACCTTCATCCATGTTTTTACTTGAAAGGAAGAAATCAAAAAATGTCACAACTGTGAGATGTTCATACACTATACCTTGAGGTCTGCCAATTACTTAATTTTTTTTTATCTTGATGATGGTGGATAAAAAAGAAAAAAAGATGTTGCACATTTTCCCCTTGAAACATTATATTAAAAGAAAAACTCTTGTGTTTGGAGTATTTTTCCTTGTTATTCTGTATATTTCAAGGCATGAACTAGCCATGGGAAAAGAAAAGAAGGCCATTAAGGTCACCAAGGCAGAGGATCAAGCAGCCCCAGTCGAGTCTGGCATGAATGACCAGAAGGAAAAACTCAAGGAGAAGGAGGAGCCTGCTAATGGGGCATGGGGGCCTGTGTTCAAGAACAGAGAAAACTTTGTACAGATGCACATCTTTTGAAAGACCATGCTTAAGCAAAAAGAAAATCTTTGTGTCTTTTGCTTTTTGTCATGACACAAAATTGATTCTGTTTTGTGGTGGACCATCTTTGAATGTGATTTGTAACATCTGACTGATCCAATAGTTTAAAAACTATCAAACTTCTAGATTTTGATCTTAAATTATGGAGTGTAATTTGATATAATAATAATAAAACTACTTTAAACCAACAGAAGTTGGTTAATGAGAGTAACCTGCCCAAATGTTGAAGAATACAGATTTTTAATTTAGACGTTTTTCTTAATGGAAAAAATGAATTGCACAATGGTTTGATAAGTCTAAAAATTTACAATTAACCCACAAAAAACCTTAACGTTGTTGATTTTTATGGGTTAACGGCCAACCCTGATATAAAACCGCTATGTCTTAAATATCACATTTAAAAAGAGAACAGATTTTTTTACTCTGTTTACCAACTTATTTATTTTGTCTGGCCTTGCCTCTGTACTCATTCGTTAATTCATTCCAATCATCGAATGCATTTTGAAAAGAGAAAGTTTTTTTTTTTTTTTTGTACTTATGTTTTTGCAGCTATATATAAATGTTAAGGAAGTGTTTTCTTGTCATCTTCACTTTTCCAGCTATTTAAAAGAAATAATCCCGACAAATTTAATGGGGGTGTTATTAGACATAAAATAATCAATTCCCAATTAGTACACTTCCCTCCCGTGTCCAAACTTGAGTATGCTGTACTTATCCCTCGGTGAATGTGCTTGTCTTTTGATGTTGAAGGTATCCGTTGATATCAAAAGACAAGTAATATTTGGTTTACCATGAAAAACTTTGGAGTATATTTATTGTCAATGATAATAACTTATAATACAAGTATGCTACCACTAACAACAAGAAAATTGTGAACTATCAATTATAACTGCAATTTCCATGAGAGTAGAATTTGCTCTCCATTGCACCCAGTCATATTGCAGTTCGCCCGTTGTATTTCAATTTAGAGTATATCCCTACGGTAGGCATACCGGGCTCTTTTATTTCCTTAAATTGTTTCTATATATTGCATACAAAATAGGCCTACCAGTGTTTACATTATGCATAACAGAAATATACAAAGAAATGATGTAATGAATAAATATAGAATAGCCGTATGTTTTAAAGCCTAGATTGAGACCCACCGTTGCCACGGCCGCCGTTCGATGAAGTGTGCAGTTTTACATGATATTTTATTATTTATTAATTTGGCATCTCCATTGCGGTAACTGGTTACTTTTTTTAAGAAAACGTGTCATCTTTTCTAAGCAAAATTACCAGTGGGCAGGCCCCTTTTGTCACTTCTCACTCGACAAAAACAGCCTTGAGTATTCCATATTCAAATGACATTCAGCCTCCATATTCAAATGACAGCTACATGTATATTAAAATAAAACCCCGCCATGATAAGTTTCATGAACCCATACTCTTGTTCGTTTGCTCTAAAGCATTTTGAGATATTGTAGACGTCTTCTCAAGATGGTTACTCCAGTAGTCCCCCTACTGTTATTCTAACACCATTCCAAACGTAATGCTGTGTATAAGTTTCTTGTCAGGATGTGGCTTGTTGATAATAAAGGTTGTTAAGCATATAAGCTCATTCATTTGAAAAAAAAAAAAAAAAACGAGTGTAAATTATGACTGGTCTTTAAAGGAAATCAAGACGGATTAAAACCTTCCTTAGGCCTACTCTTTTATCTCCTCTTCCAGTCTCCATTGAAGACCACACATAGGGGGCCTACATACACATGCACACGTGCTCGCACATGTGGGCACCAGTATAATTTTTTTAGACTCCTCGTGGTTGGGAACGGGGTTGAATCCATCCGTACAATATAAATAGTTACAAACGATTATGGTAAAACACATTGCGCACTTGACCATACTACAGTAAAACATGAAATTTTGTAGAAAAAAATTCAATTTCCTTATAACCATCAAGGTATATCTACAAATCTTTTAACATTACATCAAGATTATTACCAAATAAACCCGTTTTGGAGTTTTGATTTTTTTCACACTTATGAGTAAAAAAAAAAAATCAGTACGTAACAGGAGCGGATCCAGGATTATTTGAAGGGGGGTCCGCGGATGCGAAGCCGCTGACTCCCTCTCTAAATCCGCCACTGCGTACGTTACGATGCGTTAGCTGAGCTGAAGAACGCATTTATTAGTCTCATCTAGTCTCAAAGGTAGATTATATATCATAGAGAAATAGTCTAAAAGAATATCTACCATATGTGACTTTTATAATACTTGTATCTCACACTTATCGTATGTTCTTTTGTATACCTACTTAACGCAATCCTTTAATATATTAAAAAAATCCATAAGTGTATGATGACTTAATTTACCAACAATACAACCGAAGTCACACAAAAATGCGGTATAATTTTAACTTGTTTTGGAGGTAAATATGTATACAGATGTTTTCACTTTTAATTTTAAATACAAAGCAAAATTAGACATCAAATATAAAAACACTTGGCAAAAAAGTTAACTACCCCGAATGAATTACATTGTAAGCACCAGGTAAACGACTCCCACCGACATCAGATGCAAATTTGAAACCGTTTTGAAAATGTCAGCTTGTAATGTGGCTTACATGTAAATAACTAGGCTTATGTATCCACAGCAACCCCTACAGTACAGATTAAATTACCTTGTTTATGCCATGATGTTAAGAGATAACTGCACATAACTCTCCATCATCTTGCACATCATAATGCGCCAATTATTCAAGTAAGGGGTGTAGATCAACCGCCACAGATGATCACTGAGCGCGATTTGTTTGTTTCATCAATCATAAAACTAAGTAATTGAATAGTAGGAAGCCCTTACGATCGATCATATTACGCCTGCCCTTTTGCTCTTGACAATGAAATCGCCAAGTCTTCAGAACAATTGACTGGTGAGACATTTGAGTCGCCCGTCACGTGAACAAAATGAAGTAAAACGTATTCCGCCTCATGTTGTGCCCCTTCCTTCAAGTGGGTGTGGCACGACACTCTTACCGCGCGGTTTTTATCTTCATACGAATTGCTCTTTGCTAGAAATGGGTTCCGCACATTACTATTTAGTCTATTACACGCGTCTTGTTCTCCCATGGATTTAAATCTCCGTTTAAAGGATCCTTCATAGGTAGAGAAAGTATTCTGTCGTGATAACATGTCATTTCTTAGGCTTTTTCTGAGGGAGATGGCTCTTAGAAAAGCATTTCTAAATTTCGTAGATATCAAATTGTAGAGAATGGGATTTCCGGCACTATTCAAATAAAAGAGAATTCTGACGCAATAGACGAGATTGACCATTCCTTCAAAGGGTATCGACTCTTTCTCCTCTAGGCTGGAAAAAATCAACCACATCGAAAACACACGGAAAGGAAGCGTGCAAAAGAAAAACAACAGAATAACAGATATCAGCAAGTAAACGACCTGTTGTCTTTGCTTGATTACTTTTTCTCTACGCTCCGAACCCACTCTGCATGTACCAACCACCACGTTCTTTCTGTCCGCCATCAGGCTTCGGCATATCATGGCGTAGATGATAATCAACAACAGACCAGGAGTAGCGTAGAGCACCACGTTCACAGTGACGATGTAGATCTTCTTCCAGTATTCATCGATCGAAGTTGAACATACTTTTACTGGGGTATCACCCAACCAGGCATCTCGCTCTTTCGCTATAGCGAAGAAGGGCGTGGTCACAGAGATGGCGCAAATCCAGATTCCTACCAAAATCTTGCCTGTCTTTCTTGTTGTGCACCGTTGATCAGCATGCAGCGGCTTGCAAATAGCGTAATATCGTTCCACGCTTATAACTAATATAGACAGCATGGAAGCATGAATGACCACTGTCTCCAGAAAAGGAATCAGCTTGCCTGAAAATTAACAAAAATGTTACTTTATTAAAGAAAACTTAGATTTTTTAGGAGACGCCCATTAACATTACGTATGTACTTTCCACTGATCTTTAGGGAGATCAGGTTGACAAATATTCAATGGTTCTTTGGCTTGGGAATTCCAAGAATACGTTAAAGGTAATTATTGTAGACACAGACACGGTATACTTAAACAGAAGTTATCATTGTGACACTCATGGGAGTGAAACTATGAGTAAATAACTCAACAAATGTAAAAAAGCAAGACCGCTTGTCGCAATGTGTTATGTAATGTGTCATGGTATTTTTTTTTTCTTTTTGTATCTTCACTCGCGCTATCAAAAGATAATGAATCAGCTGTATATGAGTAGACATTTTGGAAAATTTAGATGAGCGGCATTTAGTAGAACCTCCAGGCCTTGCTCAAAGTGACAAAACACCCAATCAAATTTAAAGAGTTTCGCAGGCATCAAAGACTGGGTTCCCATACTTAGAGCGATCCATCTGGATCGACCAAACTCCCTGGGGATTCACGCTAAATTGCTATCAGCTCAAGATGCTTAAATGTCTGTCACGCCTACCGAATCAGCTAGGGGGTAAAGATAATTACCCCCTAACAGCTTTACTAGGCGTAACAGACTTTTAAGCCGGTTACGTTGATAGCAATTAAGTGAGGCTCCCCGGGGAGATAGATCGATCCAAGTATCTGTGGGAATGGTTCCAAAAAGTGCATAAACTGTTTATCGTCAAATAACTTTAATTAACCTTTGTTTTGTAATAGGGCACATAACTCTGTTTAAAAATTGAAACCCTCTGCTCGTTTTGATTATTTTAATACGTTATTGATCAAGGTCCCCTCATTAATTTGCCTTAGGCAGTCAATTCTCTGAGACCTTTTAGTGTAAATGCCACTTGTCCATGAAACATTTTCAGAAACATTATTGAAAGGATACAATCATCAATTGGAAAATTACCATATCCTATCCCCTCTCTACGTTGAGACAAAAACAACACTAATCCTCACTGCATATCGTGAGTTTCTTAAATTCATAACGAAATAGCTCAAACAGGACAGGGTAGCTAAAGAATTGTATGTAGTCAAACCTTTTTGTTGTATTTAATTGGAGTGTCTTTTCTTTGAATCCTAATAGACAGCTTCGCATTAAGTAAATGAACTTTAAGCTCCTTCGGTGTTGCAATCGAATATCAATAGATGTTAATAATTATTTCGACGTTTTTTTAAACCTAAATAACGAGGTTGTTTATGACAGTGTGCAGTGTTTCTAGGTTTATGGTGGTTGTTTCATCCCCATGGAGGTCTATAAAGTTTGATATCTTTTTTCCGACATTTATTACGTATATTTGATTCCCGGATGACTTCCAGAAACGGGCTTTTAAATGACTTCCGAATCAGTGTACAGATTAAAGTGGTGGTGGTGGTGGGGGGGGGGGGGG